GGCCAGATATTCTTGCTTACAAGCGATTACAGAATACACCCACTTTTCGTTTACGAAGCACAAACATAACAATGAAAATGTCCTGTTCAACAGAATAAACCATTTTCACAGTCTTTGGCTTCCTAGTACAAAAACATTTTTGAAATCCATGACCAACTACTCTTAGAATCATTTATAAAAGCGCTGTAGAATAAACAACTGCAGTATTTATTCAAATCAGTTCAACCTTTTCGAAACCCTAGAACTTAACACTGATCCCACCTTAAATTATAACGAATTTCAAGCACTGACATCCCGTAATGATTTAACAAAAAAAAGTCTCATTCAAGACCATCCACTCCATAGCCAATTTCCAAACATTCCCCGATTCCTTCCACCTCAAAACCGATGGAGCAACACCATGAATCATTAACATTCGCTCTTGTAATCGTCGTTAAAATCCCCGAAGCGTGGCAAATCCTCAGGCAATAACGTAATGACCATCCACGAAAAAATCACTTTCTCGTTGCTTCATTGCAGCCAACCGACGACAAAAAAAATCAGGAACCAATCCGGTCGTCACTATCTGATAACAATCAATCATGGAAATGGGGCAATGCCACACATAAAGGTCAAGGCGATGAAAAAATTACACCCAAAGGTTACCGCAGCAATCAGAACGCGATGTTCTACTTACTCTTATTTTGGAAGAGCCGTTTTCGTTCCAAACCGTTAAGAGTTACCCACACACACGAACGCAAAATGGGAGTGCTGGGTTTAGTCAATGAGTCATTTTGCATTTATTAACCTTTCGCTTTTATCACGTCGGCCTTGCTGATAATAACTCTTCACCTCTAGCGCTTTTGTTTTTCTCTCTATTTACTCTGGCGTAATTAAGTAAGACTACGTGCTCTTTGCCGCCTAATTGGATAATGGATGGTTATTTATTTATTGTCATGCTTTCGCTTTCCGTGTTGTAAAATTGTTGTGGCTTTTAGCCATTTTTTCGAGTGTTAATTTTTTTGTTTTCCCAGGACTTTCTTTCTTCGCGATTTTCATGATGTGATTGGAATAATGAATGCGTTAATGCGGCGCTAAATCTGTTATGTCACTAATATCGGTAATTACGGAGTGTTTGATGTTGTAATTAATTGTTGGTGGGTTCACTTTTTGCTTTGGTTCGTTTGCAAATATTTTTCCGCATTGATGGACTGCTGTTTTTGTGAAGATAATAAAGCTGTTTCGATTGAGGAATGCAATAATTGCCGTTGCGCAGTTATTAAAAAAATAGTTGAAGGCAACGTTACTAACATTTTTGGTTTTATGGTTTTTTCGGTTTTAATTGCGGTTTTATAACTGAAAATTAGTATAATTATTTTATAGTGGTCATAGTATAAATTGATCACATTATGGGTGAAAATATATAACTAATAACGCATGAACACAAATAATTACGAATGGAATGTAATGATAAACCGTGGAGACGTTTAAGATTTTTTGAATTTTATTTTTACGAGTTTCAATCATAAACATGATATACTTAGTTGCTATTTACTGCAAAAACAGATATACAACTTATATACAAATATATAAGATTAGAATAAAATGAATAAAAAAATAGCAAAGTACATATAATTAAAAAACATACGAGTACAATCTGGAAAAAAATAAAAAAATAGTTGGCAAAACTACACACTACACACCATATTGTAACTCTCAAGGAAGAAAGAACAAAAATAAGAATAGCAACGATACTGCAAACAAAACTCAGGCGGCAACTCTTCGTACAGGTGGCTGCCTGGCTGCAAGTCATAAATTAGTGAAACGACCGGAAGTAGAAAATTTTGCATTTTACACAATGTCGAGATTATATGTATCAACAAACGGTCACTGGAAGACGAAATCGTATTTTTTAAGAACTAATTTAAAAACAAATAAATTTTATTTTCCGTTACATTTAGGCCACAAGGAGTTCCTTAACTTCAAGGATCCAGTATCACAAGCATATCCGTATAAACCGTCTCTGCATAAGTACGGACATTGTAAAATACATTTACAGCACATTATCAATGGGAATAGTGGTATCTGAGCAATATGCGTAGTGTTTAAAATGTTGAGTTTTATACATCGGAAGAATGTCACGTAGAGATTTGCTTGATTTGAATGAGTTTATCGGACAGATGGACGGACAGACGGACGGACAGACAGACGGACAGACGGACGGACAGACGGACGGACAGACAGACGGACAGACAGACAGACGGACAGACAGACAGACGGACAGACAGACGGACAGACGAACAGACAGACGTACAGACAGACGGAAACGGGAAACCTATTTCTTCGTAATGTAGGGGTCACGAAAGGTCGAGAAAATGTAAAAGTAGAGAGTCCGCCTACGAACTAGATTACAATACACATTTTCTTCACTTACGCTCAGGAAGTAAAAATAAAATAAACGAGAATATAAGAAAAAATTACTGTCCAAGAAGTGGAAAATCAACAAAATATAAAAAGAAATAAAAAAAATGGTCTAGGGTTACTTCGACACAACTTCCCTCGCCTCGTAAGTCTAGTTGAACCACTTCAGCTTTCTTTTTAGAAAAATTATAAAACTCAATTTTGCGTATTTATTTTTTCTGATAACCATAAAGGTCAAAATAAATCGTTGTGTGGACTGTTAACGTAGTTACTTGTCTCATTCAGTAAGTTTTTGAGTCATCCTGTATAACCAACTCTGCAAAAATTTTGAGGTAACGCACTATTGGTGTTTCTGAGATTATCTGTCTAATAAAAATTAACATAGACAGACGACAGTCAAACAGCCAACAGCCAGACATATGGAAACGGGACCTAGTGATTAGAGTTCTTTAGTTTACGCTCGGGAAGTAAAAACAGGTGAGTTTTAGTTTTTTTCATTGTGTTTTGTGTGACATACAAGTGGGCATCTGTTAGCGGGTAAAGACTAAAAATAATAATAATAATAATAATAATAAATTAAAAACCAATAAAAAAAATTAGTATCTTTATAAAAGAGATCCGCAAGAAAATTTATCTAGTGTAGATTTACTAGGAGGCATAAAAACATTAATACAATAAATGAAAAAAACAATGTTGGATACGGAAGATATTTTTTTTATTAGGGTATCAGTCATTTATGATTTACTACTATTGTAATATTTATACCAAAAATTATAATTCCATTGTTCTAGAACTTGAACACAAGCCTACGATTCATAGTCATTAAAATTAGAATAATAAATTCGGTGGTTTGAGTGATAAGGATAAGACTGAAAAGTTATAAACCATAATTTTTTAATAACAAAAAATATTAATGTCCAAGTAGATAACAGCAAATTAACAACAAGAACGAATTAAAAACACACATAAGTAAACATAAGCTGATAAGGTGCTGATGTGCAGCAAAAAGATTATATTTCACTGATAGCTCTGCAAGTACCACATCGATATCTTCGTATTTTTGTAGTACTTTGAGATTGTCGTGATAGTTAAACTGATGGCACTGTTTTTACCACATAACCTTAAAACAACATTTCAGAACAGTCATTCTGTAAATTTTGAGATGAATTTTCAAAATGTTCTTGTGCAATTTCGATTTTTTTTCAATCTTTTTGGTGAAAGATACAGACGAATTAAAAAACCACAAAAATGGAAGCAAATTGTTTAAACAAAAATTACACAGGATTTATTTAGCAAAATTTTGAGATGACGTGATCAAATTGTTGGTTTTAAGTTAGAGCTTAACCATCTATGCCATCGGCTTAAAGAACACTCAAAATTCCACAACTAGTAATTTCGAAGATACGTTGTGGTTGTGCCAACAGACAGACATACTACACATGGACATGACAGAATAGCGGAAACGGGAAGTTTACTTTCTGATATATTATTAAATTATTCATTCTTCAAAAAAACTTTGATTGCGTTCGGGAATTAGTGAAAATATGGACTACCAGATACTACACAACGGGCTTCCTAGAAATTTCAAAAATGAATATGGATCCTAAGACTTACAGAATATTAACCGAAATTTATATAAGAAATGTGGTATAAAGTGTTGATGACATAAGAAATTTTTCTAATTTTTTTAGAACTGAATACATACTATGTGAATCCTGAATATGATAATTTGATAATTAATATTTTTGTTTGTGGCTGTTTTTCTTTTGCTCTTGTCTTAACGTCCTATAATTACTTGTATATTTCCACATTTTTCAAAAGTAATATTAACTTACCGTAAAGAAGAAACGCAAACATAATGCCCACTATTCAATTTAAAATTTTTTCCTTAAAAAAATTTCTGTCGTGTACCGTATATCTAAAAAGTTAGCTTTGGTTCTACACTTTTGCAACCTTCTGTAGGGTGTTGATGTTATCTATTTCTCTTATTCTCTAATTTTCCACATCTCCCCGAATCGTTCTTCGACATTAAAAATAGTAATATCTCACATTCCTATAACTGTTTCAGTTTTTTCGATCTAGTTAAAACAAGACTTAATTATGTGTAATTTCTGCAAGGAAACGTTTTTAAAATCCAATTATGAAACAGTTGTAATCGACGAAACGTGTACATATCTACCAAAATCCCAAATTAAACGAACACTCAACTTACATCACCTCTATTATTAAATCGTTAAACAACACACTTTATTGTTTTTAAGAGAATCTTAAATCGTCATGACATAACAACTTTTACTTTTTTCCCCAGCAAATAACTAGTTGAAACATTTCCAGAATCAATTACTGAATAAATTCCTTTCAAGACACTGCAGTTTTTGCAGCAAGCAATTCGTTTTTCTCCAAGCAATTTCCTTCAATCATTGCATTCTTCCTGCGCAATTTTTTCTACACGTTCTATCATTCTCACTTTCTCCCTCTTCCAAGCGCTCAAAATCATGTCAATGTAATCAAAGGATGTGTATCGACACATCCTCCAACCTTGATCTATTATTCAAAGCAATTATTTATTACGAACGCCAATACTAGTAGACTGGTGTTATTTGACAGTTCGGAACCAAAATGGCGACAAAAAACGTGTACCAAATTCAATCGCTTTTAATCCATCTAACCCGAAACTACAGCACCGAGAAAGAGGCGTCTTCATTCTGGAAGTTCTGGGGAAAGAAGAAGAAGGAAAAAAAGGAAGAGAAGCCGGCGCTGGAAAGATGTCGGAAAAGGCGAGGTTAGGTCATACCCATAGCATGACGAAAGAAGCGAAGGATGTCACCACCAGGCCGTCCACTACACACATTCGATCCGCAACGCTTGAACAACAGATCTTGGAAAACCGCTGGTTCATACGTTGCGAATCGACACATAACCACACTCTCACTAATTAAAATGGTTACGCTACCATCGCTCATACCATTGCCCCTTCTAGTGCAACGCCCAGACCCAGACTTGAGCAGCTTCGGAGGCCAGCCCTACCGGACCTGCGGCCCTGCCTACGTCATCCAGAAGGACGTCATACCGGATATGCAGTGTCAACAGGATGAAGAAGACAGAATGCTTAAGAACATAGAGGCAGATTTGAGCAATAAGAACAACGTTCAAGACCCGATGCCTCCTTTTCAGAGCGTGGAGCAGAGGTTGATCGATCTTACGGACAGGAAACTTCATCCGTATTACAAGAGATATATGTCTTTGCCGAAAAGTGACTTCACGGAAACGGAGTCTCCGCAAATGCCCTTCTTACCTTACAAGTGTAAAGTAGGCCCGGTGGCACCAGATGAAATTCCTGATATTTTGCAATTCAATAAGCAGCTGCTAGAGAGGAAGAATATTTTCGCTGATTTTAAGAGAGTGGAGTTGCCGAAGCAGATGGTGGTGAGGATTGTGGAGATGCAGAAGAATAAAAGGCCTACGCTGGAGAAGAAAGAAGAAAAATGTTGAGTGAAGATATACGTTTTTTGTTGCTATTAAATTAATAAATAAAAAAATTATCCTCTTTACTGAAATTATTTGTGTTTAGTAATGAAAAAACTATTATTTATAAGGAGCGCAATGTCAATTGTTACGGTACTATGTAATTCTAACGAGGCGTTACCCAAGTCTGATAACACGACACATGCTTTAATAATTATAGTTCGTTCGAATTTCAGACACAATTTTATTTGCTATTATAAACAATAAAAAAGAAAAAATCCTCTGTGGTGGGACTAGAATTTTCACCAGTTTTTTTTATTTCATTTATATTACTTTCCTAAATTATATTAAAATATAACTGTTATACTGGAGAATATTTGCTACTTTGGTGGATAAAACCATCTCATTTTTGACCTCACATAAGAATAACAGATGCACGAAACAACCAGCTGAATATTCCCATTTTTTATTTTTGATACTTGGTTATCCGGAAGAATATATGCTGTCCATTCTTTCATAAGGTTTTTCGCATCCTTGTTATAAATTCAGAAGCCAATTTTTTTACAATCAAAAGCCATGGAGACTAGAAAAGCAACAACGTTGCAACAATATAGATAGAAAATTTTACTCATAATAATAAAAAAAAAACATCTAAAGTTATTCAAGTAGAACCTACCTCGCCCTGTCAGTATAATCAAACAAATCTAGTGTATAAGAGAATTTATAAAATATGATTTTCCAAATTTAATTTTTTAAGATAACTCATATAATTTAAAATAACAATAAGAGTGGATTTTTAAACTACAACCAAAGAAGTATACTATGAGTTTGTCTGACGTAACTTTTTCTTAATAAAATTTTGTGATCACGCTATCAAATTTTTAATCAACAATAGTACTTTATTCCAGAATTTCAAAACAATGATAAGCTGTTTATATTTAATCCATAAAATAAATTGGTTCTTCTATTAATTTTTTGAGCCAACCTTCAAGAAAATTGTAGAAGTCGTGACTGGTGTTTCACCAGGGGCGACTAATGCCAGGGGCACAATGGGCACGTGCCCCCCCCCCCCTCGAAAATTACAACATCCTCAAACACACTGGATATAGCAAAATAGTCATTTTCAGTATTTAAAAAAATATCCGAAATTTGTGTCATAATTATTAAAATTAATTTTTTTAGCTCGCTTCACTTGTATGAAAGTTACATCTAAAGATGTTGCGTCTTGACGGATACCAAATCATTGCTGATTTAGATGTTTTGTTTACACCGTTGCCATGGAAACCGTGCGTCTAGTCGCGGTATTGGGCTGGAATCGGGTCCTGTTCCGACAGTAACCACCAGCAGTAACTCAATTGCGGGTTTTAATTTTCATTCTGCGCGAGTGAAATTGTTTGATTTTAAATAAAAATAATGAACTCGGTTGACTATTCAATAAAAAATCGTCCTCTGTGCGGCGGCGGTAAAAGGTAAAATTAAGAACGGATTAATAAACAGCAAGTCTGCAAGCATATTGCTTCATAAAATTTAAATAGGATTAACATCGCAAAATTTTTAGATGACGTAACCTCATTGTTGGTTGGGGTGATCAGACAAATTTTGATTGGTGTTTTACCATCATGATATTCCTAAAATTATGCTACAATTTGACACACTCAGGTCAGTAGTATGGAGAATATTTATCGCATAAAATCGCCAACAGACAACATAGGACAGAAAAACGATAGATAGACGAGGTTGCGTTTGGGAAATAAAGAGAAGCTTATCTCAAAATTTCCAGATGATAGTATTGTTGTAATGGACAAAGTGCAAGATTTAAGGTGAAGACCTGCAACTGCGTGCATACCATTGCCCGTTCAACTCAAAATTAATGTGGACAGAATAAAAAATTTAAAATTAAATTTTAAATTTTAGCAATCCTCAACTGTCAAAGGCAAAAAATGGGATGCAAATGAAGAATATGTTGAAAAAACCTCAGCAATATATAAACCGTTGGGCAATTGGCTTAAACCATTAGAAATATTTTTTTTAGATTGAATATCACCAATAATAAACGAGTTCTACACTTAACATTAAGACAGCTGGAGTTAGAACTGCTGAAGATTAACCAAGAGCATTGCATATGAATTCAGTCTTTCAAAAATAATTTAACGAGTATGTATAACACAGTTTCAAAGTCGTCAGTGACATGTTTTTTTTTTTGTAAGAAAACAGCGTGACAAAATATTATCTGTTATTAAGAACCTTGACCAGCGTTAAATTATCAGAATCACATATATGTATAAAGAAAATCTTCATGTAAACACAGAACTTGTATTTTGTTTATATACTTGTACAAATGCAAAGAAATATCTTTCTTCACTGCCTCGACTTTGAGTTAAAAAAAATGGTCTTCTTACTTCCCAGGCGTAAAATAAGGAATTATCCCAATAGGCTCCATCGAGCGACTTTAGCTAGTTTAGTTGTTTACTCGACATTTCATGAACACTAGAGTACGAAAAAATAGGTCTCCCGCTTCCATCTATCTGTCTGTTGTCTGTCGTTTGTGTCGATTTTTATTAGACAGAACCGATTGTTGCTAACTAAAATTTGTCAAATCACCCCCACCAACAATTTTGTGACATCTGCTCAATATTTTCCGCAGTAAAGGGTATCTAAATTTGATGCCATAATAATACTCCTGTACTTGTGGTTTAAGAATCCACCTCGATTTTGTTTATTATTATAATTTTTATTGTTTAATTCTTCCTCTACATACATAATACGAAGTTTGACAAGCTGATTTTGTGGAGTAGTTAGTCAAGCGCCCGTTTTTAAATGAAAGGCTCGGTTTGAACTCGATTTCTGGCATTTTCAATTCTTTTTTATTCACGGTTCACCCATTTTTCGAAAATGTAAGAATACAGTAATGTCGCGCTCGTCTACATTCAATAACAATAAAATAATAATTATCATAATTTTGCTCCATTGTAGCTTAATTAATCTCTGTTTTGAAGAAACAATTCAATCAAATTTCATATTTTCTTTTAAGATTTTGATCTGTCGTCGCTGATGCTGGTTATCCGTACGTCTTATTTATGTCAATTTATAGCATGCTTCTTTATCTGTGTTTTAAGAGTCCAGAGATATTTTTATTTTAACTTAACTATAGTAGTTATCATAAAAAAATTAAATTCGCAAAATTAAATTTTATAATTTTTCGACGAATTTGTTCGATTGTATTTCACCTTAGACGAATTTTTAATGTATTGAAATTGCAATAATCAGTTTATTGGAACAACAATTTCGAAAAGAATATCTTTTATTGACCAAATTAACGTGATACATGATTTATTTTGTATTCGCATTGTAAAGATTGACCACCTGTTGATTCAAGATGCTAACGTAACACGGTTCCATGGACTGCAATTAACGTAAGACGCATTAAAAACAAAAGTAAATATAGTGCATTAAGAAGATAATAAAAATTCCTTCCGGTTCATTTGAAAAAGTCATCAAGTTGGCGTTGTTTTTTTGATAGAAGAAACGCCTATGTGTTTTATTATTCAATACTTGACATTTGACATTTCCGCGTTGTCGGCTGTCATCAATTGAATTTTAGGTTTTTTTTAAGACATATACTACAATGTTGACAAAATATCAAGGACAACTGGATCACTTTCCAATTAAACACCCTATATATTTATATCCAAATTTGACAAAAAGGCTAAGTCACAAAATGATGTGCTCTCCTTATAAAAACCTTTTACGGCGTCATATCGTCGCCACAAACAAATACAACGGGTGTTCAATTGAAAAACTCATCAAAATCAAAAAACGCATGTGTTTCTTAGTCCATATATGTATAGTCTAAGTGATATTTGACAAAGTTGTTGAAAAGAGTTAATTGTATTAACGAAAAAGTGCGACTAACTTAATTGTCAATTTTGTTAAAGGTTTATTGTAGACATGCTTCATAATGTTTACAAAAATCAACGCCATCTTGATGACTTTTTTCAACTGAACACCCGATACGTATTCACATGAATAAAAATGAACCTTCTAATTTAGCCAGAGTGCTGCTTTTACTTTTGTCGTTGTACATATAAATTTGCATATTATTTTGTCATCTCTTTGTATATTTTCTCTTTTTCAAACCGATCAAATTATTCAGCTGAAGTATGAGACAGCATTTTCAGTAGTTTACAGCGATGTGTTGATGGAACAATGAGTTATAAACACCTCGCAAAAGTAATAGATATTTCATGGTTGAACGCAATTCTTATTGAAGACAAGTTTTTTTTAATAAACCGAATTGCCCGTTTTTTCGGTCTACGTGGTAGTAGAAAGACTTTATCATTATTACATTCACTGTTTATCTGGTAGTACAGTTATATACAGTGGAAGGCGGTGTTTCGTGGTTGTGTAAATAATCTAGATATTTCAAAACTGGACGGTATACTTAGCTAAGAACCTGTATACCAAAAACGTCTTGTTTGCTTTCATGTGAGCGGCAAAACTATCGTGGAAACAGTGTGAAATTATATTTTTTATATGATCTAATGAACCAAGAGTAGAGTGACAGCCTTCGGACATAAAGCAACGAAAAGGAAATAACAAGAACAATGTTATACGGATTATTCATGCTGAAAAATACTCCAGGTCAGTTGAGGAAATCTTTAACAAGGTGAAATTTGCTTCAGATCAAGGTGTAAAAAGCTATCCTTTTCATTTTTCTTTTTTTTTAGGAAACTTTTAATTCACTAAACACTCCTTTTTTAATATGTTAATAAAATTTTCCTTAAAGTGTACCTATTATTTTTATGTAAGGAAAACCTCTGTTTTAACACCACCCGGTTTTAACATATTAAAATAAACTTCGTGAACTGAGGTAAAAAAAAAAATGCGCACCCATTGTTTAACGACTCTTCAACAAAATTAATTATTTTAATTACATTTAATGGTGTCACATTAACAATCAGATATGCAGTTATACATTTCACCGTTCTACGACTTTCGCACGGGAAGATAAAAGTAGTCCACAAACAAACCTACGACGAACACGAAAGACAAAAAACCGAAAAAACGCAGATGAAATCTGCACGTGCAAACT